TCTGGGGGGGTGTCGATCATATTTCGTGCGCATACACACCTCGCATTTCCCTATGACCTCTTGGATGGATTTTTTCATGCCCCACCAGAAATACTTTCGACGTAATGCCTGCAGTGTCTCGTTCACGCCTCGGTGGTTGGTTTTCCCCTGGTGATAAGCTAATGTGACTGCCTGTTGCTGTTCCTCATCCTGTATAGTTTCCACTGCGTACTTACAACGGATGAGTGTTCTGTCCACCCCAATTCGCTCGGATCTCCACATCCGCTTTATTTTATCCCATACCGTGTTATTCCCCACATAAAGATGGTGCGTCTTTCCAGGTTCCGTGGCGTCCTTCAGTGCCGTACAAATTTGCTCTTCACTCACCCCGGGTTGCGACCAGATGACGCGAATCTTGCTTTTCCCATATCTTCGATAATCTATTTTCATCATCCCTGCTACTCTCGTTTTCCAGATTACCTGACGATGCTTGTCATTGATGATGTCGTCTATCTCCTCCATTTCCACTGCTCTTTCCTCCGCTGAGCTCTCCTCTTCCGGGGACTCTCCCCTGTCATCTATACCGACGATATCCTCCGCTCCTTCGCCGTCGGGAGTCCATTCACTCAAGAATTGGCGCACGTCTCGCGATGGTCCTCCCCCGTCCTCTTCTACCGCGTTGATCATGATGGCCCTCGAGAGCCAGTCCGCCACCACGTTCTCCTTTCCCGGCTTATACACCACCTCTATATTGTATTGACTAAGGACTTCCTTCCATCGCGTGACCCTAGCTGAGGTTTCTTTAAGTTTCCCTACCCACTGCAGGGGTTTGTGGTCGGTGTGGACTCGAAACTTCCTCCCAAATACGTATGGCCTGAAATGGTCGATAGCCCACACTATCGCGAGTAGCTCCCTCTCCAAAGCGCTGTATCGCGATTCCGCACCCGTAAGCCGACGGCTCGCGTATGCTATCGGTCGTTCACCCTCACTCCCCCCCTGGGACAAAACGGCCCCTAACGCGTATTCGCTCGCATCGGTGGTTATATTGAAGAGCTTCTCAAAATCCGGGAACGCTAACACCGGCTCTGTCAGCAACCTATTCATACATTTGCGGATATTATTCTCCATCTCTGGTGTCACCACAATCTTCGCGCCTTTCTTCAGCAAATTGTTAATGGGTACCAAATACTCTGCCATCTCAGGTACGAATCTCCGATAGTAGTTCAGCGTCCCAAGAAGCCTACGGATCCCCTTCACGTCCCGTGGTACCGCCATCCTTGTGATCGCCTCCACCTTTGCCGCATCCGGTCTGACCCCCTCGCTAGAGATAGTGTGGCCTAAAAAATTAATCCGCGTTTGTCCCAGCAGAGACTTCTCGCTTGACAATTTCAGCCCGAATTTCCGGAGCCTCTCGAATACTGACCTCAGATGTCCCACGTGTTCGGTTTCCGTTCTGCTAAAAATCAGCAGGTCATCCATATATACCTGACATACCGAGTCATCGATACCCCTCAAAAATTCGTCCATCAGACGCTGAAATGTTATGGGCGCATTCTTCAGACCAAACGGCATTCTTGTGAATTCATAATGCCCCCTTTCGAATGTGAACGCTGTTTTGTGTTGGTCTTCCGGGTGCATCCGTATTTGGTGATATCCCGCCTTAAGGTCCAACGTGCTAAAGACCACGGCTCCACTCAACCTATCCAGTATATCTTCGAATCTGGGGATCGGGTACTTCTCGTCTACCGTGTTATCGTTCAATTTACGATAGTCTACTACCACCCTGTATTTTTCCTTATTATCCCCCGGTGCTGCCTTCTTCTTCACTGCCCACAGGGGACTATTGAATGGTGAGGTGCTATCAACTATGATCCCTTGTTCTTTTAGACTATCTAGCTCCTCTCGAATATGCTGCCTCAACGCCTGCGGGTATCTTCTCTCTTTCACGTAAGTTACCCTATCCTGCTTCAGTGGGATTTCATGCACCGTCCTCCCTGTTACCCCTAATACCTCACCTTCCCTGAAGAAAATGTCCCTAAACTCCTCCTGTAGCAACTCCCTCCAGTCCTCCACTCTGTTCACCGCCCCTATCCGCACCCTTCTTTCTCTCGCGACTCCTATACATCCGAACTTCCTCTTTCCCAACCTAACACTCCAGGCTCCTCTACGATTCCTAATGCTCGCCCCTACCTGCCCCAACAAATCGCACCCCACTATGACCTGGTATTCCCGAGTCATGTTTTTTACTACGTGTACCTTCAGTTCGCCCTCTTTTCCTGCCCACCGATCAAGTCTTATTGTCGCTTCTCCCTCTACGCTACAGGGGCCACCCAGAGTGATTAGTTGGCAATCGCATTTTTGGATCCGGAGTGCCCTCTCACTCCCGCACACTTTCCCTAACGCCCCTCTGGTCATAATAGTGCTCGAGCTCCCGGTATCCACGAGGCACTTTACTCCCCCGTCTACCTCGATAATTGGCAACCAGCATGGCTTACCTCGGATGTTGTTGCATGTTGCTGTGCGGTCGCCTCTCTGCTGCCACACTCCTCAGATGCCGCCCAGCTTCCTCCTCCCCGCCGCCGTTCGTCGCTGCTCGGTCCGTTGGCTGCTCCTGCCTCCTTCGCCTCCACTGCTACCTGGTTCGTCCGTCTCTGTCCCCGAAGTTCCCGACTCCTCGGTTGCCTCTCCCGAAGATCCGTCCTTCCGCTGCATCCTAGCCCGTCTTGCCAGCTTCTGCGTGTTTACTTCCATGGGCTCGTCTTGAGTTCTTTCTCTCCTCCGGAATATGTACGGGCACTGCCTAGCAATATGCCCTTCGGTACCGCACTCGAAACACCTAGTGCGCGGACATTGTGCAACTAAATGTCCTGGCTTTCCGCACCCATGACATTTCCTGTCTTCCCTGCGGGGTCCATTCCTCGGCCTCACTTGTCCGGATCTTTTTTCACCCATCCTGACCTTTTCTCCGCTCGGCTGTACCGTTTCTCTCCTCTTCCAACCCATCGGGGCTGTCCGGGGTCGTCTGTCATTCACCCGGATCCACCCTGGTTCTTCCACGTCCATCCGAGTCTCTTCGTCCCATGCGCTTAGGTCGATCATTTCCTGGGCACACTCGAGGAATGATCTCTCCCTGGGCAATCCGTCTCTCCTTCCCGTTTCCTTTGCCAACTGGACCTTGAGTATCGTCGAGAGGAACTCCATCCTGGCTTCCACCTCTCCCACACTCATTGTTTCGCGCATTTTCTCCGTTATGCGGTTGTACTTTGCCACTAGTACCCCCGCATACTGGCCCCTCGTCTGACGTTGGGACCGGCGCTCCCTAAACATTTGGAAGATGTCTTCCTCCGGCGTCCATCTGCCTCCTCCGAAGGCCTTCTTCAGTCGCTCCTTAATCACCGGCCATGGTGTCTCCTCGTCCGCCTGAATTTGGTTCAGGATGCTCCTCCTTACTCGGCACACCAGAGCCGCTTTCAACGCTTCCGCGTCCCCTAGGTTTACCAGGTCCTCCGCCACCTTTACCTCTATTCTAGACATGAGGCGGTCTCCGCCTTTGAGGAAATGGTTGAGCTCACCTACCTCGCCACCGAAGCGTTCCAGGTCCGCAATGGCTCTTCGAAGGTCCTGCGTGGTCGCCGCTCTTATTTTCATCCATTCCAGCGCGTTAGCGTGCGCTTCTGCCAACGTGTCCCTCGGTAAGGGAGGGATCTCCTGGATCTGCGGAATCTGCGGTACCTGAGGTATTTGAGGTATCTGAGGCACCTGAGGGGCCTGCGCGATCTGAGGTATCTGCGGAATTTCTTGAGGTTGAGGGATTTCCGGGGCGCTCAACACTCCCGGCCTGATTAAGCCCTCTGTTGGCATTTCACTCTTTCCTTATGACTAGGAGAAGAAAAAAAACCAAGAGAAAAAAAAATGACTTTAAAAAAAAATTACTTCTCTGTTCTCCTGTCGAGGTCCCGGGTTTCGGCACCAGTTAAGCGTCGGCGGACTCTAACAATAAAAAAAAAGAAAGGAAAGGGCTTGAAATGCAACACTCACGGTTTCAGAAAAGATACTGATTTATTCCTTTAGTAATCCTCCTTATATACATTTCATATGTTTATTTACATTCAGGACGGTATTAAGGCTGATATCGCCGGTCTCCGGTCTTTATCTTATATAATGAAGTATATTACCCAAAATACTGCTATAAGGTACTTGATCTACAGCCTTGGTCCAAAGTATTAGGCATCCCCATATTTTATTAAAACAGAGTAAATGGGAATAAAAATAACATCTGTTTTCATCACATATCTTTATTTAAACATAAAAAAAGGCAAATTAGTATTCTGAAATCAAGCCTTTGTCTTTTATAACATTGCTTATATTTTTGGAATTAACAAGTCTTGAACAATCTTCTGTCTATTTGTTCTCACTCTTCTTAAAAAAATGGAAACAAGTTGTCTTTCTTTGTTGGGTTATGTTTACCAATAGCAATTTTTGTAATAAAAACCACCAAAATAAAACCAAAGCATTCACTGTTTATATTTTATATAATTTTTATATATTTGTTTATTTTATTCGAAAGTATTAACTAGGAGAAAGGGGTGAATATAATCCACATTGAGATCCATTTTTGTCAACACAACAAGTGTAATATTAATATTACTTATTACTTATGATTTAGTTTTTCTACTCATACAAAATTAATATTACGTGTCTGGAGGAAAAAGAATCATTTATTTTTTTTAAGTTTAAGAAAGTTGGGTGCATTTATTCAAAGATCGATCAAAGTATGATTGATCGTTCAATCTTTGAACGAGCGTTGGAAAGCAGTTCATAGGCGGTAGGTTCTACGAATCGGTAGATTACCGCTTTCTGGAAATGACTTCTGGAGTTGTTTTACTTTGAGTCTAGTATCTGGTCTTGTGTTCTTGTGTTATGTTGTGTCGAAAACGTTTATTGGTGGAATTAGTTTTAATTGTTATAACAAGCAGTTGATGTCACTGTCTTTTATATTCTTTTTTTTTTAATTTTCCAGCATGAGTCAAAGAATTTTTTTTATAGTTTCCTTATGTGTCTTAGTTACTTGTAGTGATTATAAGTTTGAGAACTGCATTCTACATTCTCGAAGTGACACTGTAATTATAGATCTTTCTGAGTAAGTCTATTTTGTTTATTTTTTGAAACTGCAACTGTGATTGTGAAGCACTTGAGAAATTTTTAGATTATTTCTATTTCGAAATAATTTCTGTATTTTATGATAAATTTACTTTTCTCCATTAAGGTCCTAATGATTTTCTTTAATTTTTTTTCTAATCTGTCACTTAAGAGTGATGAGTAGGGTTACCATAAAATTATGCTGAGAAATGGATATTTTAATATTTAAGTATATATGGATATTTTTATCATGAATTTTACTATTGCTAATTTGTGTTTAGGAGATATTTCAAAATATTAGTGCTGTTTAGAGAAAACAAATTATATACCTATATAATTGCAAAGTTGATTTAAATTTAGTTGCACAACATAATTATTAATACAATTTATGTACTTTAAATCACAAATTATCGTAAATATGCAATGATTAAGGAAACATTGCTATGATATTTGTGTTGAATATATTTATTGTATATATTAATATTTTCATATTTGATTTGTTTTGTAAATATTTAAATTTTTTCTGTCATCATAAAACTTTATTTCGTTCCATTATTTGATGGTTAAGAGTGATATTTGTTGAAATATATGACAAATGATGCTAAATAGATAAGGGCTGATACTTCATTCTATCTGATACCGGAAGCGTGATGCCTGGAAGCTGGAAACTATCTTATTCGAAATTTTTCGAACGGAAGAAACGGATTAGTAGAGACCGGATTTTGATATTATTGCACATTATATTCGCGTGTAAAAACCACAGACCCAAGTATCTATCCGTTTCAGGATCAGTTGAATAACATATTTAAATTTTATATTGCACGTCTTGGCTTAAATTGCACGATTTTGGTTTTTGTTACTTTAAATGGCGTATTTTTGTACATTTTGTGCTAGATTAAATTATTTATAAATATATATATATATATATATATATATATATATATATATATATATATATATATATATATATATATATGTATGTGTGTTTGTAAATATTTACTTTCTTGTTTTATTATCTTGTCCATATTTTTTTTAACTTTTATTATGATATTTACAACTGTATTAGTATGAATACATCAAGTAAATGTGTACAGAAACACGCTTGTTGAGAAACTACCCATTGGTAGCACTTCTCGTCCATATTAAATTTATAATTTAAGAAAAAAAATATGAGGAAGATAAATGATTCTTTGATTAACAAAGATTCCAATTTAACGTTACAAAAGGAAGAAGTAAAGTGCAGACAGACACTATTTGTGGAATAGAACTTTCAGTATCCCTTCCAGCTTTGAATTGAATCATAGACTATCATGAATTCGTCATCAATAATATCGATTTGACATTCATAAAAGTAGTTGTCAAATTTTCCGCCAACATTAACTCAACTAGAATCTCGAAATTTGTCACTTAATAAACAAATTGAAAATGTAGGAGAAAATTTTAAGGAGACCCTTAAGTTGATTGTAATACAGATTTTTTTTGTTACACAATATTTTAATTAATTAAACAAAACAGAGGATTTATGCACAATTTTAGATGTAAATTGGACAGTTTTACATATTTTGGGGTTTCATTGAACGATTTTGCACATTTTGAGTTTTTCACTGCAAGTTTTTCGGATTTTTATTCACGAAGATCCGGTCTCTAATTGTAAGGATAAAAAAATATTATCAGGAATTTCAGTCTTGATGATATTTTCAAGACTGAAAATAAATATTATCAAGACTGAAATTCCTGAAAATTTTGTTTTCTTCTTATATTTATATATTAGTGTTGTTTTTTTTTTGCGTATGGTTATGTTTGAAAATATGTCAACATAGCCACTGAATATATTACATGTTGTTATTTTTATTTGAAGGATGATTGACTGATGAACCAACAATTCTCTGATGCTCCAAACGTAAAATTTAAACGGTGCAAAGAATGAATCATAAAATGCTAGAATTATTGCTACATCGCCTTATCTTTATCACCTAGTTGTTTTTTTCTATGTTTATAATTGATTTTAGTTTACATATTTTATTCATTCTTGTAGATTTATTGATATTAATTTTGATTTATGTTCTTCGAAATATTGGGGAGAGGGGGCGAAATGGTCTGCTCGCTTCATTTCAGTATGGTATGAATTAGGAATGTTGGAAAAATATCGAGATTTTTATTTCGATATATCTTTGTTACATCTCCCCTCCCCCTTCCCCCTAATTTAAAAATACACTCAAAAACAATAAAATTGCAAGCATCTACAAAGAAATCTCTCTAATGAGCACATTCAAAATAAATTTTAAGCACAATACCTGAGAATTAAATATTGGTTCAATTGTTTTTTTGTAGTATCGTACATTCTTATATGTTTTTAAAATAATGAAAATGTTAGTGAGCTCTATAGTTTTTCGTCATTATTAATTGAATTTTAGTTTTCTTCATTTTTTATATTAAGCAATTTATTTTTTTTTTCCTTTGGGTTTTTGTTGTAAATATTTTAAATAATAAACGTACTGTTTTTAAAGATCTATGATCTTCTTGCCTCCGCTCATGGTTAATAAAAGAAACGCAGGAGATCATCAGGTGAGGCAAACGCCGAAAGAAGAAAAAGGATGTCACGTTAGGAGTGTGCTGTTGGGAGAAACGCCCAGCTTTACCGTTGCGAGGTCAGATTGGCAATAACATCATCAAAGGGTTTAGGGAATGTAGACAAAAGTATAAACAAAACAGATGCAATATTAGGAAAATATAGATATTAATTTTCCTATGTGAGCGAAACACTAGCGGATCCAGGATTTAATTTTTTTTTGGGGGGGGGGAGCTTCAGCCCGAAAGCTGTTTTTTCATAAAAATTACGATAATTACTTTGGAAAAAAATAAAGAAACTAACTATCAATATGAAATGGTTCTAAGTGATTCCTTAAGTCCTTTTAAATGTAATTACACGAACAATAATACTTTAAGAGATAATTTTTAATTTTTTTTTCCATAAACATGGTTATATTTTACCATTTTGTGAAGGGGGCTTCAGCCCGAAAGCCCCCCGTAGATCCGCCCGTGGAGCGAAATGTTATTGAAATGTCACTGATACAACAAATGATGAAGCTTTTTTTTTATATAAGGCCTCAACCAGTGGTGTAGGTTTTTTTTTATTGTTTATATGACGTAAAAATTAAAATTAAATTACCTCTTTATCTATGATGCTACATACTTAAATTACAAATTGATTGAGTTTATTTCTAAAACTTAAATTATGGGGACACCCGACAATAGATTGCATCGGGGCTCAGACCTATCTACATTACAATTGTGTATAAAATATGAACAGCAAAAATATTTTATTTTAATTGGAATGTCTAATGCCCATTTTGATTGAATAAACTGAACTGTTTGTTTATTTAATGAAATTTACAACTGTATACAAATACAGTAAATAGGCACAAATTAGAAACGATGACTAAAAGTAAAATAAACTAAAAACAAATAACTTAATAGCGGCAGCCACAGAGAATATAATTAAATAAAAATGTTTATTCAGTCTATTATGGACATTCAGAAAAAATAGTTCTGGACTTATCGTTTTTTTGTAAACAAAACATTTTATAATAAATCGGCTTTATTGACATAATTGTTTATTCGGAACATCAATTTATTTATTCAATCAAAGGATCTTTGAAAAGCCGATTTTGTAGAACCTTTTTTTATTTTTTTAAACCGTTGGTTGTGAATAACAAAATTTCAAGAATGTTTAGTTAGTAAATAAATGAAAGCATTTTGTACCACATGATATTTTTGCTGGTTTTGGGGTTATTATTTGAGTCATTTATTTCCAATGGAAATATAAATAAGTATTGATCCCCATTTAAAAACACCCAATGAATACGATGTATAATTATTTTTTCTCAAAAGCTATACTGAATATTTAAAAAAATGGAGTGAAAATTAGTATATTCACGAAACTGTTTTTTTTTTCAAAGAATGTGATGAAACTTGAAAGAAAGTTCTTGCGTAAGTTAAAATAAGTTTTTCATTTCTTATTTATTCTTAAAAATAATCCATGAAAAGCTTTTTTAAGTTTTTTTATTTAAATAAGAATCTTATTTACTTATCTTATTGTACCATTATTGTTAACAAAAAGTTAATTTTTTGTAGGGGTGATAAATATTCAGGAAGTAGTCATTATAGAAAATTTTTATATAAAATATAATATATATTTTGTATAAATATAATTTTATTTTTATTGTGTAAACTGAGTCCTGAATATTTATCACCCATGATGTGTAGAACATTCGACTAGCTTCCTTCAATAATAAATTAATTTTTTGTAGTACAATTTTTATAACCTTTTCTTCCCGGAATCATACTCCATTTTTTCTCTCCAAACCAAACCCCCATAAAAATGTTTTTGTTCGAAAACGGGGCTTTAAGTTTATTTATTTCCAAATGGTTGATATAAGTTTCAATGCTATTTAATTATTATTGAAATAATCAGTGATTTTTGGAAACAAATAAAGAATTGGTTCTGATATTACAATTGTAATAGAAAATATAGTTTCTCACGTTTTCTAAAAATTGCTAATGATGATTAGGGTTCACATTAGAAATAAACGATTTTAATCAGTATTGAAGTGTTTTGAAAAAAGAAGAATAGCTCTGATCGAAATAGCTCTCAAACTACAACTAGAAAAATGCAAATAGAGAAATTAAAAAGATGAGAAAACGAGCAATCAGTAAGTAAATCAGTAAGGAAAGAATCTGCGAGCTAATCGATAGATGCACGATGAGTAAAAAAAAACAGTCCAGGGTTTAAAGGCAATACAAAAACCCAAAACGAAGAGAACTGAAACTGATATTATATTTCCAAATATCTGGGCACCGTATTTTTCAAGTCTATGCAAGGAAGAGAGACTGGCCTATATTACTCATCCAACAAGTAGGATAACAATACTGGGGGGATCAGGAGGGCTTTCTACCCACATCACATGAACAAATAACTCTTGCCCTGGAAGGAATGAAAAA